GCAAGAGAGACTCCTTATTTAGTAGCTGATTAATCTTCGGTGTACAGGTCAAGTCCCAGGAAGCCTTGCTAAGCTGAAGGAACTCACTCTGACGGCTCAGAGGGAGTAAATGAATGAAGAGCTGGTTTCAGAGTCAGGAATACCTGGGTTCAACCTCTACTTAGACTCATACTGGCTTCTGGGACCACAGGAAAGGTCTCAACCTCAGTACCCCAGGCAGCCCTCTAAGACCAAGCTGCCTATCTGCATTGGAGAAGTGCATTTCCACACCAGGATTCTTTGCACTAATGAGCATATCAAACAAAAAGACAAAAATTTCTGGCCATCTCTTTCTAGGATGTCTATTCTGCAGCATCCTCTAGGCCTTTGGGGCTTGCAGTAGGTAGGGGAATTTTGCCATTAACCTCCATTCCCATTTCACCTGTTTCAGAGTCCTTTTTCAAACCATAAAGTAAATCTCTTTAGGGAATTTACATTTTGTCTGACTTAGAAGTTCTAAATTTTGCCTCATATTTTCTCCATTCACCAAATAAGCATAAAGTGCCATTTACTCATTAAATCACAGCCCCTAAATATTGCCTATTTCCTGGCCCCACTTCAGCCACTGGCTGGGATTCCTGTTCAGGCAGGGATCAGAACAGAAGATCTTAGAGATCCATCCCTCCTCCTCATCTCTATGGTTCTTTTTATCCGCTAGGTGACTTCAGGAGGATGCTTCCAAACCCAGCCATTTTCAAATGGAAAGGGACCTGAATTCAAACCAAGCCCCTCAATGGGTTTTTAAGAGTAGAAAAGACACCCCATTCAACAAAACCCAACCCCTGAACCCAGCACGATCTGTTTCTAGGGGCAAATGCTAATGAAAATCTATTAGACCAAGGGTTTTCAGCTTGTTTGTGTCACAGTTTGGTAAAATTTGGAGACCTCCTCCCACAATAATGTTTTTAAAAGTATAAAATAAAACACACGGGATTACTAAAGACACTGATGATGCTGAAATATAGGGACCAAAAATACACACTCACAGGCATACACACTTGCAAAGTGTATCTCCCTCATTCACGGGTTAGGAACAGTTAGTGTTCGACCCTGCACATTCCCCTTCTCTAAACAGAAACACAAATCCAAAGCAATTCCCAGACATTTGCTTCAGGGAAATCTCCTGCCAGATGGCTCACTTCCCAAGCAAACTAATCAAGAACTGAATTTCCTTCCCCCAGTTCCAATGCCACAGAAGCTAACCCCAGGGCTCATTTTCTGGGTCCCCTCAGTCAGGAGCAACTTCCTAGTCCAAAATGCTGTCGACACAGAAGTGAGGGAAAGGCTGATATCCACACACCTTATGGTTACACAGGTCTTGGCTGAGGTTTAGGGCTGAACGGGGCCTTAGGGGCTATCTAATCCAACCCTTCATTTTACAAATGAAGAAACTAAGGCACTCGCTCAGGGTCACACAGGTAATAAGTGGTGGTGCCAGGATTTGAACCCCAGGGGCAAGCGAGGTGGCACAGTGGATAGAGCACCAGCCCTGGCATCAGGAAGAACTTCCCCAGTCTCAGATCAGATACTTGACACTTATTAGCAGTGTGACCCTGGGCAAGTCACTTAACCCCAATTGTCTTGCAAAAAAAAATAGGATTTGAACCCCAGTCCCTGACTCTCCAGCCAGCACTGCTCCCACTGTTCCATGCTACCCTCCGTTCACATCCATTATTTCATTTGATGCTCATTAACAACCTTGTGAGGTGGGTAGTGTAAGTATTTTTATTATAACTATATTTTTTTTTTTTTGGAGACAGGGTCTCCTTATCCCAGGTTAAAAGTACAGTGGTCACTTCGGCCCAACTCCATTACTGACCTGCTCCATTTCTGACCGAGGCTGGTTCACCTTCCTTGGGCAGCCTGGTGGACCCCTGATCCGGGGGGCTCACCATATTGGTGCTAAATTTGGTGCAGACATCCAATCTGCTCAGCCCAGGATAGCTCAGAGCTCCCGAACTCAAGTGATCCACTAGCCTCAGCCTCCTCATAACTGGGATTCAAGTATATACCACCACACCTAGCTACATCTATTTTGTGGATGAAGAAACTGAGAGTCACGTAAGCGAAATGATTTACCCAAGGTCACTCAATTAGGAAGCAGCAGCCCATGTGCTGACCCTTAAGTCCAGTGTCCTTTCAACTACACCAAAAATGGCAGAAAATGATTATCTGGTTTTCAAAGTCCCTAGGCACTCTATGGAGTTACTTACATTTATTATTAGCACTGTCTCTAGGCACAGCAATGACTTGCTTAATCTGCACATTAAAAAAACCTTTTCTAAAAAAAAAAATTTTTTTAAAAAAAGCCTCTTCCTTAAGCACTGAATTTTTTACATGGGGCAAGAAAGCATAACCTTAATTCTTTGCATCAGGATGTTCCCAAGATCATGCCCCAAACATTAGAAAGACAAGGTGAATGGGCAAGAAGGTGCCAGTGTAGAATGGACTGGTCACAATACGAAGTCACTTTATATTGCTTTTATTAATTTTGTCATTCATTTTGTTATTCATTCTCTCTCTCTCTATAATCTTTAATCTGAGGAG